AGGCACGGAAGTGCTGAGACTGCAGTAGAGGTGGTGCAGCCTCCTGATAGGAAGCATTTGGTAACTTGAGCAACCTGCACATGAAGAATGTGTACAGTGTCACTGTGTCCCTATGAGGATATGCACAGTGCAGTCAATCATTTATTTCTCTCTGTATTCATATTCAGCCTATTCACCCACTAATAAATACTACTTGTCAACTGCATCCCAAACACATCCTCAGTGAATCAAGTTAAGGTGCACTGGAGGTACATTTAATGTTCAGATAAGCTAGTTTAATTTTAGCAGGTTGCTACTATAGCTTCATACTTTGCCCTACTAGCAGATTTATACCTAGGGTTTTTGTTCATCCATTATTCCCTGCACTATTCAGCAGTTTGCTTTTCTTGCCCTTATTATTAGCAGATCGGTGATGTATACAGATCTTTAGAGCCAAAGACACTTTCAATTTTTCCTACTGCATTAATAATAACACACATACAGACAACTTGTCTTCTGAGGGTTTTCTACTGTATTTTGTTGCCTCATGTTCTAAGAAAAGATATACTGCTCTGAAAAACCTCATTGTAGTTGTTTTCTCATACTTCACCCTCAAGGTACTGTCACTGTTACCTATTACCTACAGAACAGCCTGAGCTGTTCATACGTCTTTACAGTCTTTCTTCTATTACTTACTGCTCCTTTTCCTGGAATATCAGCTCATCTCTGCCCTTTGCTATGTATCGGGCTTTAATCATAATTTTGCATTAGTGTTTCACCATCTTCCATAAGAGCAAGCAGAGAGGGCAGACCCCACCTCCCTTAGGGCTGTGGAAAACGCAGCTGAAAATGAGCAGAGTCACCCCAGTACCTGGGCTGCCGGGCGGTGACTCAGCAGCACGAAACTGATCCCAGGGCTGCCTGATTCGTTTGTTTTCTTTAATTCCTAATCTGCCCGCCGCTACTCCTCTGCCTGTCATCTGTCCTGTCTTCTGAACAACCCTTTTCTCTCCGCGTTTCAATCGCAGCAGTGTACATTCCGTATACACAGGCATCTATACGCACAGCCCTGCCCAGCGGCGGGAGGAGCGGGGCTGGGCTCCGGCACCGGCCCGCCGCACCGAGGCGCTCCCGCTGCGCCATCTTGCGTCGTCCCGCCGCGGGCACCGGGCCGGGCCCTAGCGGGGGACAAAAGCTGCCCCCATCAGGGTCCCGCTTTTCTGCCAAGAGCACCTCTCCAGGAGCTTGGGTTCCTCGATTATGTGATATTTGGTTGTGATTATCAGGAGCTTCAGCTTAAAAACCGATCAAATGTATTTCATTGATTTTGTTTTAGGAAAGAAGGATCAAAGGCTGCTGGAACAAGACGAGGTTGTTTTACATGATGCTCCCTGTATCAGCCATCATCCTTACCCTATGCCAGAAAAAAAATCCCTAAAGCCTCATTCATTTTCCTAGACCAAACGTGCTGACATGTTCATGTATGTGAAGAAATGTGGATGAAGGTGGTTTCGTTTCCCCACCTATTGCAGAGAACCTGGACTTTATCATCTCCAGAGGTCCCTTCCAACCCCTGCAATTCTGTGATGCTGTGATTTCAATAGTGGCAGAGATCACAAATGCTCAGCAAACATGTGATCAGACTATTAATATTTAAAGAATGTAAACATGGATTTGGGCATCATATCCTTTGTGTGATGTTTTGGAAACTGTAGCTGTAGCCAATTTCTTGTCTGATGGCATCTGAAAGGCTTCAGTGCTTCTCCTTGAGTCAGACAGGTGAACAGATTGTGCCTCGGTGCCTTGGGCAGCAATAGTCCATATCAACACTGCATTAAATGGGTACTGAGTGCAACACTGAGTGGAAAAAAAGCTGTATTTGCTGTCATAAATCTGTAACTGTTGTTGGTGTAATCAGCACGGCTACTGTGGGTTACAACTTTATGTGGTGAGGGATAGATTGTATTTTATTATAACCTTTTGGGAGACTATTTTCTTCTTGGGCTCCTTGACGATAAAACTCCATGGAGATGGACTACATTGTGCTGCTAAATATAGAGAGGGATAGTAGCACTGGCTCAGCTCTACCATCAGCTCTGCATAATTAATAAAGATTTTTATTTGCTCTTTTCAGTTTGTACCATGGCTGTTTGGAGCAAGCAGATCCAAATGTACTTTTGATGCATGCATTAAGGAAAGAGAGGAAGCAACTCAGTCATAACTCGGGAGTGCTTGTCACCCATAAGATCAATGTTGAAAAACAAAAATAGAAAGAGTAATAAAAGAAATAAAATATACGATAATGGACTTGAACATTGAACAGGCAACACAATGAAGGCACTGCTTTACCGTAGGTCTGGTGTGAAGCAAAGATCACAACGATGGACTGTCGATGTGGGCAGCACTCTGTAATGGTCTTCTGTGCCACCAACATGCCCATCAGCATGAAACAATCACACACTAAGAGGTACAAAGAAGGGGCTGAATAGGCTAGCTCTGCAATCAGCAATAACTTTGTTATTTTCTGATTTTTTTTCCAGCAGATGTGGCATTAGAGATCTTTTGTGACGTTTGCACCTCCCTGAAGCCTTTTGTGCTGTCATCAGCTTTTTTACTTGGAATTCCTGAGGTTATGGATTGTATTACCTTACGAGAGTGTAAAAATTTTATCATGTCTGATTTTCCCCCTTTTCATACTCCCTACATGCAACAGATACAAGCTCCAGCGTCGATTCATTTGTTACCAAAATACACTGTCAGCACTGTCAGCTCTCTGGGGGCTCAGGAAGGTTTTTGCTTTATATTCTGAAGTCTGTAGAACCTTACATGCAATCTGATTTTAGTGTGAATTTCATTGTCCTCCAGAGGACATGTTGTCTTCATAAGAGAAAGCCTAAAACATGGTCAGGAGTGTGAGCTGGCTGGTTGAAATCCCCAGCTGGCTCATTGTATGACAGTACAGGTAGAGCTCTGTATGTGTGTCCCTCTGTGTATATGTGTGCATGCATAAGATGTGCTCATAAATAATATGTTCTAACTGTTAGATAAAGCCAAATGATAGCAGCTGGTAGGAGATGGTAGTTTTATAACTGCTTGCTAATTTTTCCATAGCTTATTACAGGGCATTTTAGAAGAGTGATCTTGCCAGTAAGTGCCAGTTCTTTTCATTCAGTTCCGTTTGATAGCTTAATAATGCATAATTGGAGTTCTTGGGTACTGGTAGTAAAAGGACACTATGCTCCATTAAGTCCAGGATATTTATTTTGAGAAAATGAGTGAGTGCACAATTTTCTGGGAGCACTAATCGACTTAAATGGATTTCAAAAAGCCTTTTACCATTACAGAATAAGACTCAAATACGGGTCACATGCTCTACTCACAGGATGCATCCAGGATGGAGTCTGTCACTCACTCCTTCTTCATTAAGGAAATTCTGTGGCTCTTGCTGGCAGTGCTCCTGATTTGCCCATCTGTGAGTGGGTTCAGCCTTAGGGTTGCTGTGTTTAGAGCAGACAGTACTCTTAGTGTAAAGGACATAAGGTTTTGAAGCAAGTTAATTCAGCATTATGGTTGCAAGGCTCCTCTACAAGTGTCCCCTAGAAATTCTGTTAGTGTCTGGAGATTCATGCATGCAGAGGGGTGTTAACCCCAGGGTGTTTTTAGAGTTGTTTTACTGACTGATGTGTTCTGTATACAGACTTCCTACAGCTTTTCCTCCAGATCACAACCTCATGCTTCTTCCTATAAGCTCACCACCATGATTATGTGGCCACTAAGTTACAGAAGTGTTTACAAGGACTGATGGGTATTTGGAAATTGGTATTTTCCATGTCTGTGAAGCACTACACCCTTCCCACATTTAAGACTTCTTAGTCTTCAGTTTTCAACACAAACACCAACTCAGCAGTTCTTACCCAACTTCTGATATTTCTGAGTAGTTGGTATTTCGTGTGGTGTATCATCTCAAGCCTCCCAGACTGGCCTAACCTTTTGGTGTGGTAAGTAAAGCAAACTCACTGAGAACAGGAAGACAAAATCTGGTCAAAGAAATGTGATGTATACAGGATATCCCATGTGGCACTGTGTAAATTTTACTTGTCACTCCTTCATGTCACTGGGGGGAAATGGGGAGAATTCCTATTGATCTAACATGGGAACATTATTCCCTTCTGATTAGGTTGGTTCATCGTTTATCTCCCCAAAATCTCTTATTTATATCCTGTTAGATAACTAGATCATCTCCTCTTCTCCTTCCTGATTTCTAAAAATAATGTCCTCCCTGTTGAGGAGATGGGACCTTTTTTTTTTTCAAAATGCCTTCTACAAATGCCCACATCTATTCCAGACTGTGCATCTTGCTTAAGCATAACAAACTGTTTTCTCCATTGCTATTAGAACTAGCATATATATTTTTAAGATCTACTCATTTTATACCCATATCACTCATCTCATGTCTAAATAAAAACCAGATTAAATTAGAGAGCGTGCTGTATATGCTGAGCTGATACTTGGCATATAAACTATATAACTTATAAACAATACTAGGAAGATCTAAAAGCCTTCACATTTCACTTTTTATTACATCTTATTTTCACTTGTAGCATGCATTTGTAATATTGTTCTGTAGCAATATTTTCATTTTCAATTTCATTTTTATTGACTGTTTCTCTTTTAGAAATCCCACTCACATAAATATGGTAATATGAGTTGTCTATGGATTATTCATTTATCCTGCTGACAACTAATCTGTCCAATGAATTAGAAAAAGTCACAGCACTGTGACATCTAATTATACTTTCCTTCTTTTTTTCTATGCTTTAGAGAAAAGCAAGGTCTTAGTATGCAATGTTGCATATAAAAAAAATGAGTTAAAATATTTTTCTTTTAATTTTCTAGCCAGGTATCATGAAGATACATGATCTTCTGCAGAGAGTTGTAATGTTGTATTGAACATGGGAATTGTGACATAGCATGAAGTTAAATTAAAAATGTGGATTATTTCTGCCCCTAGCTACAGTTCCTCCATATGTAAAAATGCTTATATCTGAGCAGATTGCTTCATCCAGATGAGGATTTGTTCCATAACCCAATCTTTCCACCTTCATGGATTGTACTTTTCTCTTCTCAGGAGATTTGAACTCTCTCAACTCTTGAAACTGTTGACCTGGAATCAACCACTTAGAGAAGCATGGGAACAGCATTTGACATACACACCACCAATGAGAGTTTCTTAAACATGGTCCTGAGGACTGATGGAAAATAAAATTTGAACCTATAGTCCATGACACTTCTGGCAGCAGGAAAAGTCCTCAATAGCTTCTTTCATCACTAGCCATATGGGGGACATGGATGTGACTCCTAGTTCTTGAGTATGCTTCTGGTGCTTATACATATCCAAGGGCTACCTCTGAGAAGCAGGATTTACGAGTTGGGAGCTGCAGTTTCTATATGAAGAAAGTCAGTAGAAATAAGACATGTTACAGATCTTCAGCGTGAAGTGGAGGATCTCCTCCTTGCAAGCTGTATGGGAACTGCTGAATCACAGCCTGAACCTCTGACTGATCACCTGAGTGAGCAATAAGTCAGCCACGGGAGCACAGGTGAAGGCAATTCACCTCTGCTGCCGAAAGGATGGAGCCTGGTTGCACCTCTCTAGACGCATTTAAGAGCTGACTGCCAGGAGGGAAGGATCTCTTCTGGAGATCCACTTTGCTGAAGTTTCATAAGTGAGCCTAGGATACAGGTAAGCATCCTATCTTTTCTGCTTTGATGTAATTGCTACGTAGGCAGGCTCTCTGGTATACTTCATAACTATAACAGCTGTACATTCATTGATTGTACACAAGCTCATGCTCCAAAGGAGGTAACCTACCCTGAGCAACACTTCTCTCTAATTTGATGACTGCTCGCTGAAGAAGAGGATACCTCTATGAACATTACTACTTTTAACTCCTATTAAGACATTTTCTACTAGTTGAACTGTTCAAATGTTGGCTCTCATCTAACTAAGAACAGGGAAGAGAGATGTTTTGTTTAGTTCTACGTTCATCCTACAGATCAAGTCCTACAAAAGCTTATATTTGCCAGCTGGCAAAAAGCCATGAACCTTATTGTTTTTATCATGCCTCTAGTCTTTAGTGAATGCTATTGCTGACACCGAAGTCATTGTGCCCTTGTGTGTGTGTGTGGTTTATTGTCCTTTTGCCAGCAGAGCTGCGGAGTGCCTCACAGTCAGTGAAAGGAGAAAGATGCAGTGGAGAGAAGCAGTAGGCAGACAAAGGTAAGCCCTGCTCTCCAGAAGTAGTTTGGGCTTTGGAAGAGGTGTCAATATTATCAGTAGTGTTCTTAAAAGCACATGTTCTTTTTCTTGCATGCAGTATTTTTTTACTGTCAACTTCATGCAGAGTTCTCTGCATTGGTTTTTACTTGGATGACTAACAGAAAATTTCACCCACCAATGGGCAAAGCAATGCAAACTGTACTATAATCCAGCTGAAGGACGTCAGAAAGAAAATAACGAGATTGTTGCAAATCTGCGTATGCCTTAAACTTAATAAAACACCAAGTTTATTAGCCACAACTAAATGTGGTGTTGTTAATAACAGTTCAGAAATTGGAGGCTAAGAGCCATGCAATCATCGAGATTCACAGTTATGATTTAGCTGCTAAGCCCCAGGCTAATTGGTATTGACAATATCTGCTGGTCAATCTAAAGCAGATGTTGGAAATTAGAGGCTAAATCATGTAATCCTGCATGTCAAAGGTTTATCCAAAAGCCCTATTTATGGAATACCATTGTTTTGTTGTTTGTTTTTTTTTTCCTCAGTAATAATTGAAAGATGTGGCTTAGAACCATAACTGACAAAAGCACATTTTAATAACTATTCTGGGCTTATCTCAATGTGCATATAAGAGCATGCCTATTTGGAGGATTTCTGGCTCTTACATACTCATTTTATAATGCCTGCTGATTTTGGCAAACAGCCATGTAAAGGCAAATATAAAATTTTCCTGCAAGTTTCCCATAATCAGTTACACTACAGTTTACCATGTTACATACTTTAAGAGCACGTTTGTTCGCAGAGATATGAGACAAAGGCACAGAATTGTCCCCGGAAGAATCTGAGTAAGGGAGAAAAGCTCTGGGAAAGGATTTGGTCAATTGCTTCAGCCTGCCACTGGTCACAATGGTCCTTACTTATATTTTTAGAGGATTATTTCCAAAATTTGGACTGAATACATTAAAGTATTTCAGTGGCCTTACTGGCTTTTGAAACCTGATGTGGCCTAAGATTTCCTCAAGGTCTAAATGAGTATTCTGACATTTAAACTGTGCTTATAAGTAGTACCTGCTGCCTGACTGCTCTCACAATACTGAAGTGTTCAAGTCTTCATGGAACTTGGACGAAAAAGAGACAGAAGCTAATTCCCACCAGAAAGTAAAGGACATAGAATGTTTCTTCGCAATGTCTAATGCAGGAGCAAATGGGCTTCATCGTAACAGTGGGGCAGGCAAGGTGCATCTGCACCAATTCTCTCTTAAAGAGTGATCCCAGAGCAGATACAGCATGTTACTCATGCTATGGAACTTCAAAATCTTCTTTCCAGAGATGCATCAGCTCCTGGAGAGATCAATTGGCTTTGAAAAGACCTTTTACAAAATAAGTTTCTTCATAAAGTGTTTGTTTATTTAATTTTGAGAACAAATTGACTGAATGTGAAACTGTAAGGACTGCATTTTGTATCTGTCCTTGGACTTTGTGCACTAAGTTAGCATAGCAGCTGAAGGACTGATCATGCAACCACTAACAAGACAGCTGCTGGTTATCATTTCTTCACGCTATTCATATAAGCTCATTTGCAGTTCAGAAATCGCTCAAAGCCCAGGGGCTGATAGGAATCTTCCAAAATCTGTGTGAAAAATACATTGAGCCATGTTCTGTGACACAGCAGCACAAGTAATTCCAAACACCTCTTAAAGAACCTTTTTAAAAATAGGGTTTCCCACAAACACTTTGCTGGCTGAATATATGGAGCCTGATGGGACTTTTCACTTAATGGGAAATAATTCCAGCCCCATCTACTGAGCCATTCTAAATTTGCAGCAGATAGTACATTTAGAGAAAACACACAGAAAATGTACAACATTTGCCTTATTTAAATTGTAAGCTCTTCAGGGAAGAGGTATTTTCTTGCTATAATAAAAAGAGTTCCAGTAGCAGTCTTAACGCATTACAAGGCTCTTAATTAAAGAAAAGAATGTGCTAAAGTTCTGAGGCTCACTGAGTCCGTGGTCTTTCAGGTTCCTTCAAGCTTATGGGAATGTCTGTAGCAAAATAGCACAAATATTACCGGATACCATCTCCTACTGATTATTGCTTGTCATTTTCTAACTATTTCAAGAACAGTTTCCAATGACTTTACATTACTTTCAACAGTTGCAACCTTCAAGTACTCCACATTAAGCAGCAACGGGGACAAAACCAGCCAGCCTTTTGCAGAATTTACTCTTGAAATTTCAGTTGAGGTAAAGCCTGGGTTTATATGAAGTAGTTCACATCTTGCTAGTGTACAGTTGTGATCTCATAACTGGGGAATACTTAAGAAAACTGAAAGAGGGTGGAGATACAGTTAACTCAGTCTAGGAAAATATAATTATCTATCCAGTCCTTTCACTGCGGCAGCATTATATTTTACATCTGGGAAAGTCCACAGAAAGGCTAGATCCCATCCCACACTTGGGGGCTTGCACTGCTTCCTTCATCAGCACAAACCTGCTACAAATACTTCATTGGTCACACATTAACTGGATGCTGCAGAGTTCATCTTGCAGCTGTTGCTGGCAGACAGTCCCTGCATCATTACTGCTGGCCTTCTCCATCTTGGGCAGCGACCTGGTACCTGACATCCACTTGCAGCCATTTCTGGAAGTCAGAATCAGTTTTAGAGGTAGGTGTCAGACCAGCTGCCAGGTATGATAGATCTGGCTTTTGAGGACCCTATGCTGGAGGACTTGGAGGTACAGGGGCAGCTCCAATGAGATACCATGCTGGAGCAAGCTGAATTTCTGCCATTTAGACTATGATATGAAAACTAAAGCTCCTGACACTAGGAAGTGTTTATGGGCCTTTCCCCTACAGCAGTGGCAGATGAGTTCTTGGTGCCTTGAGTGCCTTTTCCATCAGTGAGAAATGAGTAGCTCTAGCAGCAGAAATAAAAATTCCATGAAGTACTGCATACAGCTTTAAGCTGAAATAGGGTATTGCAGCCACAAGCTGCACATTGATAGCAGAAAATAACTCAAGATTCAATATGTGTCTGCCCAGCAAATCTCTAGGGAAGGAGATACAGCTTGCCAGGTCTGGTACATACTTGAATTACACGAGAATAATTATGCTAAGTACCTTCAAAACACTTTCTAGAAGTTAGAAGAAATGTATGCATCAGCTCTTGTTTCAACACAGTACTACACTGCAAGAGAGTGATATGAAGGTGTTCCTATTCATTTGCTTCATGAACTGTGTGAAACAATGCCAGGAAAAGGTGCCTTTTTTTTTTTTTTTTTTTTTTTTTTTTTTTTTTAACAACCAGAAATATTTCCTGAATTTCTTTGATTGCAACTAGCTTTGCTCATACTCTTGTACTCTTTTGAATGCTTTTACATGTGGATATATATGCAGATCCCATGCAGAGTGCTGTACCAACGAGTTAACCTGGAGTTTTGCATGATTCATGTCATGTTAGTCCTGTACAGTGAATTGTTTAGACTGAAGAATCATCTCCAGACAGAACAAACCCAGCTCTCTTGGTCTTTTTTTCATAGGAGAGGTGCTCCAGCACTCTGAGCATCTTTGCAGCTCTCCTCTGGACCCACTCCAACAGATCTGAATCCTTCTCATGCTGTGGGTCTCAGACTTGGCTGCAGTACTCCGGATAGGACATTCCATCTGCTGGCTGGTCACCCCTCTTTTGATGCAATTCAGTTGCTGCTGGCTTTCCAGGTTGCAGGTGCATACTGCTGGCTCATGTCCAGCTTTTCATTGATCAGAACTCCCAAGCTCTTCTCTGCTGGGCTGCTCTCAACGAATTCTTCTCCTACTCTGTTCTAATATCTGGGATTGCCTGATCTGAATGTAACACCTTGAACATGGCCTTGTTGAACTTCATTAGGTTCTCACTGACCCACTTTTCATGCATGTGCAGGTCTCTCCAGTTGGTGTCCCTTCCTTCTATTTTATCAGCAGCACCATGAGCTTGTGTCATCAGCAAAACTTGCTGAGGGTACACTCAATCCACATTATCTAGTCCTTGGTAAAGGTGTTGGAGAGCACTGATACCAAAGCAGACCCCTGGGGGATATCACACATGAATGGCCTCTACCTGGACATAGAGCCATTGACCACAACACATTGGCTGTGACCATCCAAGCAATTCTTTATTCACTTAATATTTCAGCTTTCAAATCTGTGTCTCCATATTCATGTCCAGGTGGAATCCTGGAATTCTTTCCAGGCCACTCATGTCTGTACTTTTCCTTCTTATCCCTCAGTCTGACTAGCAGGTCCTTGTTCAGCCATGCCAGTATCCTCCCTTCTCTACTTGATTTTTTTCTGATGGTAGATAGAGAGTTTTTATGCTCTCAGAAAGTCATCCTTAAAGAGCTACCTGTTCTGTTTCTGTGTCCTTAAGTTTCCCAGGGGATTCCATCTAATAATTCCTTAAACAGCTGGAATATCCCTCTTCTGAAGTTCAGGGTCCTGACTGTTTATTGCCAGGCCCATATTCCTTAAGATCATGAACTCAAGTGGGTCATGGATGCTACAACTCAGAAAAAGAAAGCAGCCTTGGTGCTGTGATTAAACTGCATTTATAAGACATGATTCAGACACCTAAATTTAGGTGCGTACACTGTAGGTGTCTATGACAAGGCAGCTCTCTGTGGCACCATTGTCACAAAGGTGATTAAAAAGTCAATTCGGTTTCCTAAATCTTAGCTGTCTTGTGCCATTTGAGATTCTCATTTGACATTCTGTTACTCAGTTCACATGGAATTTGTGGCCTGCTGTAAGGCAAAGATCCCTCCAGAGACAAGACAGGATGTACTTGGGCTGGGACTTAATTCGGCTGCTCACACACAGGCATCTATTACCATCTGAGATCCCTTCAGAAGTCTAAGAAGCACACAGGACTGGAAGATGTGGCACACAGAACCTCGGTGAGCAGTTGATGTGTCCTGCCCTCCCCACTGGATCTAGGTAAGTAAATGTCTACGACCGAATGGCTGTGCAGATGTCCTTGTCTTGGCATTTGAATCATGTCCCTAGTCAATACACTTGGACAAGAGACACTGACACTTGACATGTTCATTAATCTAGACTCAACTGCAATGAAGGATTCTCAAGGAGGCACAAGGAGGATTCAGAGGATCCAGGACCTTGCATCACCTTTGGAAGCATGAAGCATATTGATTTGTGTGGAACGTTGCTGATCCAGAAGAGAAGGAGTCTACCATTGCTGGGGCCTTGTTCTCAACTTCTTTCCCTGGCTATGCTGAAATACAAGTAGTAACTGAAACATACTTCAGTTCTGAGAGAAGACCAAACCTATTCCTTTGATGCTGAGCAAATCTAACTTCAGGGAATATGCCTGCCAGCAGATTCCCAGAACTCTGCTAGTTCAAATCCCTGCCAGCACCCAGGATCACAGGGCTGTGTGGAGAGGAGCCCAGGGGACAAAAGAGGACAAATACCTCTCATTGAGAGCTCACTAGAGCTCTGATGGAGTTCTCCAAGTGTCCTTAATTCTATATCTGTTCAGTGTGCCCATGGTATTATCTGATTTTTAATTTTTGCACAGTTTCTGACGTATCTCATTATTACCTTGGCACCCGAGGGCTGTGATTTGCAGTACAGGGTCCATTCCAGACCATACTGAATTATATCAGAATTCCAAGGCATGTTTGGCAGCTGCTAATAGTGGCTGGCTATTTTTAGATTTATTTTTTATGTACTTCTCTCAGTTCAAATCTGTCCTATTTAAACTCTATTTAAAAATACAGACCAATTTCAGACCAGCAATATTTTTCTTTCAATTTCAGGGGTATATTTCTACTGCTTACAAAAAAGACCTTTTCACTTACCTTGCCTCTAATTCAATTTTTTTCTAGACTGTGTTGTAACTATTTTGAGCCTCAATCTTTATCTCACCAGGAACTGTGTGAAATTGTCTCTCAGAAAGAGGATTGAATTCCCTCTTGAACCCTTTGCACAAAGGGAAATTTTTTTCACATATCCAGTGATACCTATTTCTGTATTCTGAACATAAGCAGGTCAGTAGATACCAGATTTTTTTATGGCCCTGCCCCTCAGTCTTTGCTGTTTGAGTGCTGTCAGATTTGCACTGCTCTAATTCACAGAGCCAAATTCAGTGACCCCCAGTGCTTGACAATGGCTGGGGCCATTTGCCGAGCTCAGAGCAGCAGAGGGAGTGGGATTTGGCAGCTTCAGGGCCAGTAGCAGCAAGCAGAAGAAAACTTTTTCTGTCTTATCTCAGCTGAACCTACACAGCTATTGCCCTACGTGGACCTAATTTTGTCCAAAACTCATTGTTTTAGACAATGATAGGAGGGAAATGTCAAGGGAAAATGTACAGTCGATTTTCCAAAGCAGCTGCCAAAACTGTCACAAACATATACATACAGAGGAAATAATCATACAGTACTAGTGATGCTAAATCCTCTCTGAAGCTGTTTTTAGCATTTTGCTGAGTGATGACACTCCCAAAGGAAGGAGGTGTGCTCTGTAGTCTATCAGCAAAGTATGAAATGTATTAGTAGGTCATGCGAAGCTGATTTGGCAAAATCTCCAATGCCAGCACAGTTATTCCCATTTTGGTTACAGTTTCAAGTTTGTTGTAACATAGGAGCCACGTATACAAACACTTGACAAAGTGATAGGTAACAAATGAGGATTCTGCAACATGTAGCGCTATCACACTTCTAAAGCACTGTCTCCACAAAATAATTTCCCTAAGGCTGAAAGCCTGCTGGATTTCTGATTGCCAGAGATATCAGCTCCCACTTTCTAATGCTAGATTTCTTTGGAATGTGCAATGGAGCATGACAGCAGATGAAAAATCTGGCCTGTTTAGTGGCATGGTTTGGGGTTGAACATTGGAAAGGGGAACTAGCTTTTTTTTCTTAGTAGATCACTGCTTGAAGCTTCCTCAATACTGTGAAATACTTGTAATGATTACAACTACTGCAAATAAATGTATAGAAAGGGAAAAAGAAATCTAGAAACACAATTTGAATATAAAGACCTCCAGCTGGAAACATAGGGATAGACTCTTCTCTCTCTCTTTCTTGTATAAATTGGAATTATTCTAAATTTTAAAAGGAAAAGAACTTACCTTGTTACAAATTTGTGAGGTCATACAGTGGCTTCTGATTTGGAAGTGTGTAAAATATTTGATTTTTTTAAAAAGGAATAACTACTGTTTGTATTTACTTGAAATATTTGTAAAGTGAATGCATGCATTAACCAGATTATCACAGAATCCCAGCATTGCTGAGGCAGGCAGGGCCTGCTGGGTCCCCCAGTCCCAGCCCCGCTGCAGCAGGGCCACCAGAGCAGGGTGCCCAGGCCCACGGCCAGGCAGCTTCTGCAGACCTCCAAAGGAGACCCCACAGCCTCTGTGCAGCCTGTGCCAGTGCTCCGTCACCTGCACAGCACAGAAGTGCTGCCTGCTGTTCAGATGTGCCTCTTGTCCTGGTGCTGGGCTCTACTGAAAGAAGCTTGGCTCTGCCTTACTTGCACCTTCTCTCAGGTACTTACGGACATTGATGAGATCCCCTTAAGTCTCCTCTTCTCCAGGCTGAACTGCCCCAGCTCTCTCAGCCCCTCCTCATAGTAGGCATGTTGCAGTTCCCATTATCTTTGTGGCACTTCGATGATTCTGTCCATTATGATCACACCTCTCTTGTACTGGGAACCCAGAATTGGACCCAGTAATCCATGGATGGCTGCACCAGTGCTGAGGAAGTAGAAAGAATATATTTATCTTGCAATAAAATCAGAAAATCCATATGACTGAAAGGTTTGTCATTTCAGTTGTTGTCCATATCCGTGGTAATTCAAACAGCTCCATTTTCTCATCTGTGTGAGAGAGGTCCATATGGGACATAAAAGTTTGTGTCCTGATGGCTCTTTGGCTGGCAAAACAAATGAAAAATGGAAAGTTTATTTGTGTGGACAGATGGTTGCAGCAATTTCCTAGCTATATGTTTGACATGCTTTTGTCTAAAATAAGCACTAATCATGACTAGACAAAGCTGTCGAAACTGCCTCGAGAATACTGTAAGGACCTCTGTCTAACTGCCTGCAGAGAAAACCCAAAGTGCTGAAAACCCAACGCAGAGTTCTGCTCACAGCCAGCTTCAAAGGGATTGAAACCATTAATAAGAATGTTGGGGCCACTGAAAAAATCATGTGAATATTTGCTACCATATCAAGGCTACTGCAAGAAAGAGATCATCCTTTTTCTGTTTTTTGTTTATTTGTTTGTTCCATTGTTATTTCTTGTTTGTTTAAGTTACACTCCATCTTCTTAGAGGTAAAGGAACTAAAGCTGCACACACTATTCATGGATTGATGCTGGAGCATAGCAGTGTTTCCTATTTTGCTACTTCCTCCTTTCTCAGTAATTTCTGTCATTTGATTTGCTCTTTTCTTTCCACCAATGTTTTCAGAGAGCTAAATGCAGAAACTGCAGGATTTCTTTCCCAGTCATAATGGGTAATGACGAATCTATCTCTGTGCAAGTATAGGTAGGATTATTTTTCTCCAATGCATTAGTTTGCATTCCTTAATTTAATCCAATTCGAATTCATTTCCAGGCTTCCTCAGCTCATGGCTCCTGCTTCTCACATACGCATCTGTCTTTCTCTCCTTCTTCAGACACAACCAAATAATGTTGGCTTTGACAAAACTTACAAGTGTGAATGTTTAAAATCTAAGATTATTTCTGGCAAAGCTGAGACTTTGGCTCTTACAAATTCCTCTCTCACGTTTCTTCTCTGTGCTATCTACACCGGTGAGGCGCAGTCCCTCAGTATCAAATGTAAAGCACACAGCTAGTTCTGAGATGTTAAGCCAAACCTGCCAAGATTGCAGACTGGCGGAGAAGAACCTGCAGGGACAAGGCAAGACTGAAGTCAAGCTGGAGAATCAAGTGAGTCAGACAGGGTCAGAACCACCAAGGCATCAGAGTGGCACAGACCTATCTACAGGTAGCTCAGGCAAAGACCAAGGGCCTTTAGTGCAACTCCCAGGTCAAGGAGGGGATTTTTGAAGAGAGTTATCCCAGTTTTCCACACAACTCTTTTCCTAGCAGTTCAGCCTTAGATTAGACGGCTGCGCTACATCAGAGCTGGCCTTCAGCCCAAACAAATGAACCACTTTGGTGGTGGGCAAAGAAGCTGCAGAGCCTCCTACTATGGTCAGGACTCTGACGCTCATATTTATCCTTTTGTTCCACAAGAGACTCGAGATCACTGGTACTCAAAAAGTGGTGCTTGGACATCAAATTGCTCAGGAAAGATAGAATTGCATGGGAAGGTCACCAAGGTAGTTCTGGAACAAGTAGCAGCAAGCTCCTGGCAGAGCAGAGTTCTTGAAACCTCCTGGTCTTCTCTGAGGAAAGGATGCAGATTTCTTGCTTCTGTGCATTGTTTATTCATGCAGGAAGCTATGATTTTCTCATTTTCTCACGGAAACTTATTATAAAAAAAATTTGGGGGGTCTGTTGTCAACATCTCAGTCACTATCAGAAGTAATGAAAAACATTACTTACAAAACTTACTGGTCATCCCAGGAGATAATCTGAGGTATAACAGATATAACAGTCATAGCAATAAAATTCTACATTCCTTCATTGGGCAGTTTCTTAAAAATGTGTACCGTCTATGAAAAAGGAATATTTTTATTCTGTGTTATCAAAGGTTAGTTCAACTTGCAAGATTTTCTGAGTTTGCACAAAAGGAAAAAGTGCAATGTATTATTCTTAAGAGTAAAATGTTTATTGTACCAGGAAATAAGAGAAATAAGGTTGCATTTATGATTGTGAGACCAAGCTACTGGACTACAGATGTGATATAATTTGCTTTGTTCTCCTCATTTTAGACATGATTCCATTGTAATGTGAACAAGACTTTTGAAACCAGTGTGGAAAGGCACTTGAAAGCAAGCTCTCCCTTTCTCTGAGGAAGGCTTCCTTGAGAATCTGAATCATGATGTTGGGGGTAGTCACTGAATTCTTAATAGCTCCACTCTCAGGCAGAGTTGAGTGGGAGGAGCTCAGGTTGTGTAGGGGCAAATAGAACTGCCTACATGAGAGTGATTTTAATTTGAGCTCAATACCTTTAAAAATGGCTGAATTAGGCACAGTGTTGGCATAGGCTGTGCTGACTAAAAATCAACACCAGCATTATTGTTGGAAAATAACTATTACCCTATTTGATTTTTTCACATTACCATTACAGTGGGAAAGATTGTGTTTACTGCTTGTGAAATTCACTGTGAGAATGTGAGCGGATGATTTCATTTTTCTTTTTACTTTTCTTCTCCTGTTTCTTTTTTTTCTGACACAGTTTGTGTCACTGTGTTTTAAATTCCAAAACAAGGTCATAGCTGATTTTCTGCATGTGAGAGCTTCTTCCTTGCTGCTCCAGTTGCCAAGAAACACAAGCAATTGTAAATTTCCATACAAAGTTGAATCCAAAAACAACAGTTCAGATTTTCCATAGCACCTGTCAGGAAAACAGCCATATCCACTGACTTCAACAAACAAAAAGCTGTAACATAGAGCACTCTACATATTAACTCCAGTCAGAACAGCAGTAAGCCAAGTTTGAGAGGCTCTGACAGTCTCATATAGAAAGGATAAAAATACCAAGGAAAGAAGAACTGTCTGGAAAGACAGAAGTACTTAACAGCAAGGAACTGGGTGCTAAAACTGAAGAAAGTCTAGAACGGTCTAAGAGGAAAAAGATATATTTTAATCTCTAGTGAACCATAGACCGACAATACATACTGTTAAAATGTAAAAGCCCATTGCCTGGGATAGTTCCAGCTCAGGAAACAATCTTGTGCTAGCAGATGACACTTCATCATAGGCTTTCCTGTCTGGCCCGTTCATCTCTAGGCATAGAGACTGATTTTCACTTTTTTCTTTCTTTCCTTTTTTCTTCTGTTTTCTTACAGACCTTACATTGAAATAAGGGCAGAAAAAAAGATACTCCGCCATCTCTCAAGTGACCTAATCTATTTTTAATTCTCTCCTTCTATTTCTTCCTGCTAGTAAGAGATGAGAATAATAAGCCTTCTGATTGTTTTCTAAAGGCATGACATATTTTGATAGCCATATCAGTAGTAGGCAGCATCATCTTTTCTCATCATCATCTTTTTAACCGGTTAAGTGAGACAATACAGAAGTTAGCAAATATGGAAAATAAGATGAGTGACCTTTATAGTTTTGCATAGATCATCGATTTTGATAGAATGGCTTATTTAAACATACTCAGGAATTAATATACTCAGAAAAAATACAAAGCATTGTTTCGATACTCACGCTATCTAGAAACTATAAGATTTCTTGTTATTTAGTCATAAGCATACCCGAGTTGTGAATAAATATCAGATTTAAAAAGGAGCAAACTTCCTCAAAAGATGATTCAGAGCCCATGGATATTGATGGAGAATACTCATTTATACATGTATATTTTCTGATGGATTGGGATCTTTGATTATCTTCCTTCTTTTCTCTAATTTGCATTTTCTGGTATAATTCCATCATTCCTCCTTTTTGCTGTGATACAGTGTAAGCAGTAGATGATAAATGGTAGTAGAAACTTTACAAACAACAGATATTATAGTTACATTCTTACAAATTCTTACAGATGGGATCCTTATTATTTCAGTACACAGGCAAAGAATCCAAGGACATGGAAATGAACTGAAAAATGTAATGGACAGATAAATTTTGACTCGCACTTCCTTTGTCCTAGTAGACAAAGGGTTTCAAGTTGTACGAATGTGACTGTTAATAAATGTGACTCTTAATCAGCACCAAATTCTTCACTCAGAACTGGTTTTAAAATGCAAAAGTCACCTGAAGTATTTCCCTTAACATTTTGGTTCTCCCCAGCCCAACTCTTTTGAGAAAGAAAGGAATCAACAGCTCATTTGTTTCTATTGCAGGCTGAGATGTGATAGTACGCTGTATGGGAAATATTGAATCATGGCCTGAACCTCTGATTGATCACCCGAGGCAAGCAATGAGTTAGCTGTGGGAGCACAGGTGAAGGCAATTCACCTGTGTGATCAGAAGGGGCAGAGCCTGGCTCCACCTCTACTATACCTTATTTAAGGGCTGACTGCCCCTGAGGAAGGAAACTCTCTCTGAAGATTGTTCTTCTTGGAGTCTTTCTTTGTGAGCCTGGGGCACAGGTAAGCTTTCCATTTATTTCTAATTGTTCTTCTCTAATGTAATAATCTTTGTAGCTTAACCTCTCTGTATGCTTGTTGATTATATGTGTGCCAGCACTGTGTCACAGACAGGGAAGAATGTAGTGATGTCTATAACAAAAGCCCAATAGGGCATTCCAAACAGGTGAGGTTAATGCCAGGTACCTGGATTTTCATGGATGCTTCCTAAGAAGATGGAAGGAGGACAATGCCAAGAAATTTTCATGTAGAGATCAAACGTGAGTCAATAGAAATGTGTTTATTTGTCTAAATTCCTCTGAGGGGTAACTGAGTATGACACCAGAATATGGCTAACACACATACATTGTATTATGCTTCTCGAAAGAAGAGGTGTAGACTGGCTTAAATAAAAAACTTAGCCTGCTATCAGCAAAGCAAGTCATAGAGTGAACACCCATCCTTCACTCTAGGAAGTCAACAACTCCTTTAACAATCCTGCTTTCTCTTCCTCATGGTGCGATATGTTTGGTCCTATGTTACACTTAAGATTTTTTTTCAATTAAGTCAGTGTGGTCACAGATGAAATTAGGAGCAAGGTTTGATCCCCTGCACTCATTTCACCTTTTTTACCTTGCTATCACCCCCAAGAAGTGATGTTTCTTGGTAATAATAGGTTCACATCTAGTCTAGGATATTAATTGTTTTTACTTAAGTTCAAAGAGGCTTGGGAAGCATGCCAGATATCTTGAAGTCCATGATTCCTCCTCAGAAAATTCCAACACTTTACTTAACTGCAGTAAAAGAATCAGAGGCAGAGAGGACCTGGGATAGCACTGAGTTCGGTGGCACTCCTGTGAGATTTGTGCTCTACAAGTAAAAAATAATTATGTTGAAATGTATTAGGAAGATCACCTGCGAGAACCACAGGAATAAACTGTTCATTTAGCTCTTTGATTGTAACTTCATCCATATACTTATTCCCAAAGTGAGCCAGAATACATCGTCTCTATTAGAGGCTTACATCCTAAATTTTCCTTTTATATACATGCATTTTACAACTCTGTAAATCTGGCAGAACAACTTATATTTACAGCAGAAGGAATAGGTAGCTAATCAGAAATCTTATCTGAGATTACTATATTATGCAGGGCAAACCTCTGTGGGTTTATAACTGAATGGGAAGAAACTACTGCAGTTGCTATCCTGGCTTTAGGATGGCACTTCAACTGTTGCTTTGCACATAAGTCTCCACATAATTCTCCAGACAGAAGGAGCAATCAATTCTTATGTTCCCTGCATGCTGGCAGCCTGAAATGAAGCCTGCAGTCCAAGGATAAAGATCTCATCTGTGTCACCTTTATCTAAAATGAAAACCTGAGGGCTTCTTCTTCAAAATCTTCTAGGGCATTAAGCTAACAGGATGGAATGCTTGTTCAGCATTTGTTGCTAATTTCTCAGCACTAACAACTTCATCAAAAACGCATTCCACTTTCAAATCCTTTAGAGGAGAAAATGGGGAAGGTGCCAGGGTGAACTAGAAGTAAGAACGAAACTCTTCTGTTCTCCTCTGCCAGCTCCCTCATTCCCCATTCCACCTCATATTGTGATTATGGCTATTGAGGCTGCAACTCCGCACATTCTGCACTGCAGCGTGTTACAGTTGCATCTGCTAGTCACCTAGGGACCAGTTCTGTCACTGCGCCAAGCTGTGCAGAAGGCAATCTTGCTTTCAGGGTTGGAGGTGATAAATGAATATGGCCATATCTTCTTCAGAACATTTTCAGAATCATGTTAGGATGGCACTACAGCATGTTGTGGCTGCATTCAAACCTGGTTCTGGGAGTGGGCTCTGCAGTATGAGTGTGGACTTTCTTTCTTCCTCTCTTGTATACAGTGCTTTACTACCATTAAGAAATCAAGTCTACCTCCCTAGATCATCCTGAGGAAAATGAAGGAGCACTGTTTCTTATATACACCTTGAGAGCAGACTACAAACTTCTCAGAGCCAGGAGTTGCAAGTGAAATTGAAGGGAAAGAAAGTAAGATCTAGAATGCAGACTTGCTCTGACCATGGTAAAATAGAATGGGGGGAAATGGAGGAACATATAGAGTGGAGAATACATGATTCATAATCCTACATGATTGAGATGAGTAAAAATAAAGGAAAGAAAGCTGGACTGAACCAAAAGTAGGGAGAAGGGAGCTTGAGCTCAGATAGAAATCTGACAACTCAGGGAGATGTTTTTCATATACATATGAGAAAAACTCAGTGATAAGAATGTTCTAGCATCCTAATGTATAGACTTGCACAAGATAAGTCAACCATACTCTAAACATTGTCCCACTGTCTTTTGCTTTCAATTCCCAGAGCAAATTTGGTCACCAAGGTTTTAACTGGTCTGTGGACTTCACTTAGTTTTATCCCCAGAAAAAGGAAAAAGCTTGCTTATTTCAAATGGTACTCTTCCTCTCAAGAGGAAGCCAATGCCTGCTGCTGACTCAGGTGCCAGATGGTGCACTGAGATTTATTTAGACATGATCCACTTAACAGGAAGGAGTGTTGTTCACATTAGATGATACCTGATAAAGGGTCAAACTACAGTAGGCTGATGAGACTGAATGTAAAGTGATGCTGGGCCCAGCACCGCCTTTCTGGACTAGATTAGGGAAGAAAGGAGTGCTGAAGAAGAGTGGGGAAAAAAAGAAGCTTTATGTACTTGTGTTTGTTTGCTGTGACTGTCTGAAAGTGGGTTTTTGCTAGTCTGCCTGAAAAAGATACCACAGATGCTGCCTTTGAAACTTCCTCTCGTCATTTCTTAGCTAAAGGAACCAGTCTTCCCTTCAAAAGATTGGGATAGCGTGTAGCCTTTCATGTTATATGGGACCTGTTAGATCAGGGCTTGAGTTGGTGATGGAGCATCCTGTGAAGGGGTGTGCCTGGCCCAGGGAACACAGGCACATTGTTTGCACCTGTGCCCAGAAGGAGTGCACCCAGGGTGGAGCCACTCTGTGCTCCTATAAGGACAGCCACTGGAGGGAAAACAGCTCTTGTGCCTGTGCTGCTTCTTGAGAGGGAGTGCTGTGCAGCTAGAGAAGTGGCCTCTTCATCAATAGGGTGAGTTCAGCTCTTCTTTCTGTATGTGGTTATTGGCCTACCTGTGAATACTTTGCCTGGTATCTCCAAGGATCTGTCAGAAGCAACATTGCTTCTTTGTGAGCAGAGTGCAGGTATGTGATAAATAACCCAGGAATCCATGCCATCTCTCTTATATAGCTGTGTGGAAAGATATATTTGTGAAGCTAATCTGAGCAACCAGCATCTGTTTATTTATTCATAGCAATAAGGCACAAGCAGTGAGTCATAATGTCCATAAGGACAATCAAAATTCTTTGGGTTCTTCTTAATTAAAATTGCCAAAATGACATTGTCTTACTGTAGTTTTTCATCTACAATGCTTAGATCTCTTTGTGAAACAGTTAAGAAATTAATATGTCACATCCAGATCAAAATGTCTGACTACCAGGGCATAAGTATCAGAAGTAAGATCCTCAACTTAGTGTCTTCAAAGTCATTAATAATCTGTTACTGGGCCCAACCAGAAGGATTTTTTTTTTTAATCTTCTTTCAGAGTAACCATGCTTCTAATCAAGTAGCAAACCAAATCTCCACAAAACTGGTACTACACCAACTGCTGGAGCTGCCAGCTGATCCAAGCATGGCATCTTATTTGCTTGGGACAGCTGTCCTTTGTCCCTGCCTGCTGTGGCTGCTCTCAGCTGGCCTTTGCTTCCCAGTACTTTCGAGCTGCTTACCTGTGAGGCTACTTCTCACCCAAACTGTGCTGCTATAACTCCACCTGCCTGGGACCACTCAAGTGCTTGAGACATCAGCAAGTTTCAACACAAAAGTCAAGTCCTTGTGTCAGGAGATTCTTCATGTGAACCTTTAATTTTTGGGTACTATCTGGAAATCGGTTCAAAGTAGCACAGTGCCAAACTTACCACAATATTCTGTCAAGATACTGTATACTAATATTTTGTTTGCTGTTCATGCAATTCTAGCTCATTTGGGATGCTCTGAAGGGCTTGTTTTCCTTAGCTTGTTTGTTAGGCGGATTCAAACAAAGTGTCATATCTGCTTAGGTCCTTTTAGCCAAGGTTTCTGTTTGCCACACCAGCCAATGGCAATGAATCATGGGAGAGGAATCTTAGTATTTAGGATGTAATGAGCTGAAGGGTCACTAATAATTGTTTCTAAATTACTTTTAAAGCCACTTAAAGTCTAGCTCAGTGATGTTCTGCAAATTTGAGTTTAATGACTTAATTAAGACCTCCATAGAAAGAGAACTTGCTTTTGTTTGATCTTGAATTTGATACCTAATAATTTCCCTGAGTGTTCTGTAGCTCCCATACTGTGAGAAATAATGATTTGTCACTCCTTAATTATCCTCTTTGCATCACTTATGGTATCCTACTTACCACATTTCCTCCTTCCCTCTCACAACTGTTTTCCAAGTTGAAGAGGTCAGGACTACTTACTCTTTTCATGTGGAAGTTATTCAATTTTTGCATATCAACTCTGCCTTTCTTAGCTTCCTTGCTCAGGTGCAACCCTTATGAGATGAATATCAAGAACTTAATGAAATGTGAAATCTGACTGTAAAAACAAAATGTTAATTCTTGGCATTTTTTTCCTATTTTTGACACAGTGTTAATCCCTGAGAGCTCTTCTGTCTTAGATTGTGACAGCTTTACGTGTCTTCTGCAAGGATTTTTTTTTTCTGAAAGATTTTAAATATCTATGTGTTTAAACAACTGTAATTATCTGCTCTTTGATACCTTCAAAAGACCATAATAAGTTTGTAAATGAAATATGTGCTGAGTTTCCTCTATCTCATATTTATACTTCACTCACTGATTTTAGTCTGTTATAGTTTCTACAGATTTGTTTGGTACAAAAAATGAGGCTTACCTGCCTCTGAACAAGCTCTGTAGTTCCTCTTGAGACTCTTGACAACTCTGCTTTTATTTTAATATATAGAAGGACCCACCATGGATACATCTAGCTCAATCCTTATATTTGTTAAAAGAAGCATGTAGGTTTATGAATATGAATAAACCAATAAGATACTATAGAGTTCAATGCTGGAAAAGTTTCAGGTAAACATAGCAAGAAATAGTTTTCAGTGAACCATTCATTTTTCTTTTACTTTCCCTTTACTTCCCTTATACTCGAGTCTTAGACTTGGTTCTCAAGAAAAGAATGTTACTTCCAGAGCAACACTAATAATGCATGTGTTTGGGATTTATTTTCCCTTTAACTTGAGTAATTCTGGTCTTGGAGAGAGGTTGCTGGCAGTTCTTTCCACCATAATCTGAAGGCAAATGTCTGTCTTCTCCTACGAAAATAAAGAATAATGTGGGGTACAGTCTTAATGTGAATGTGATGAGACACTCATGTCTTCTTCATTGTGTTCAGAGACCTGCCAAGTTCTGGGAATGAACTTCTTTATACAGAAGAGAATATATTTATATACTAAAATCTGATTCTGGAAGTAAAGAATTTATTTACTTAGTGATTAATTAGGAGTTGCTTTCAGGCTGCTCATAAGTATGTACAAATTATTTATTCCTACTCTGTGGTCCTTACTCAGAACAAATTGTACACAACAGTCTGTAAGCCTGAAACATCTCAGAATTTTCAAGAAATCTGGTGTCACAGCACTGAATGGATTTATTTCTTTTTTCCTAAAGGGATCAACCTTCCTGCTCACAGGCTTCCATGGCCATGCAGAAATTTTTTTTAAACTCCTCTTCGAGTTCCATGTGGCAAGAAACAGGTTAGTAAAGTGACAAGCTGGGGGAAAAAAAAAAAAGAGTAAGCTGGTCTTCATGGTTAAATCAACAGCCATACACAAATAACATCCTACTTTGCAAAAAAAATGTTTGCAATGATGACGAGCAAGATCCCTGGGATTAAAAGAGCTTAGGACAGTAAGAGGATGAAGATACTAAAGATGCTCTGCTAGCAGTTGGACTCGCATAAGTATAAATAAAACACCGTTCATTTCCTTTTCTTTTTACAGAACATTTTCTCATCTTACTGAAACAGAAATATTATGTTATCCCTAAAATCATCAACTGCAGACTTATGTAACAATAGAAGCTGTTTTCCAGGAACAATATTAATTGCAGTCTATTATAAGCCCTGGAAAACATTTTTCAGTGTTATGAGTCATGCTTTTTCTCATCAGGCTAAGTGCTGTGAACTGCATTTCCTGAAAACAATACCTTTACTCAGTGCAGGGGCTGTGTTAGCATTGACATCTGATGGCTTTCCAATGTTTTATTCTGAAATAGAATGGGCGCTTGTGGAAGGACTGGAATGGCATCACCTTTATTTGGAGTTCTGCAGTGGACATCTAATGCTGCCATAGCAACAGATCCCTGAGTTGTTTGAATTTAAAGCCACTGCATCCATATTCCATGTTGCGATGGGAAACAGGAGTACTGATGGCCTCTGTTCACCCTAATTTTGGCCCTCTGAATACCTGCAGCAGTCTATACTTCTGCTGTAAGGGCTGTATTTCCCTAGGGTTTTGTGCTAAGTCTTGTGCTTCTCCAGTTCTTCCTTTCTTCTGACCTAAAATTTTGTCAATGCCAGATTCTGGGGAGCTAGAGCTTCATGTGCATCTGTATTTATATACCCAGACATCAAAGCTGTCCTTGAAGTCTGATATTTCAATAGTAGTGTCTTGATGTTGCTATTAGTTTGCAAAGCGTTATCACTGGATATGTAAATATACATCAAAACACAGAAATATCTATATGTATATACTGCACCCCTAATCACAAACAAGGGACAGTAAAATATGCCTTTTACCAGACACATAGTAACATTCTTCCTGGGCTTAGCAGAGATCTGGTGTAAGATACTAAAACATTGTAACTTCTAAGTAGAGAAGTAAAGTTTTTATGGATGAGATATTTAAAATTCAAGGAATCATAGAATTATTAAAGTTAGAAACAACCACTAAAACAATCTAGTCCAACCATCAGCCCACCCCCACCATGCTCGCTGTCCATGTCCATCAGTGCCACATCCACGTGGTTCTCGAACATCTTCTGGGACAGTGACTCTACCACCACCCTGGGCAGCGGCAGCCTGTGCCACTGCATTACTGCTCTTTTAGAGAAGATGGGTTTTTTTTGCCAATTTCCAACCTGAATCTCCCCTTTTGCAGTGTAAGGCCATTCTCTCTCATCCTATTGCTGTCACCTCAGAGAAGAAGTTGATCCCTACCTTGCCATGATTTCAGGGAGTTGTAGGGTGATAAGGTCTCCCCTCCTTGTTCTGCAAGTTTGCAGAATATAAATTATTTGGGTTGGAAGGGACCTTTAAGATCACCTAGTTCCAACCTCTCTGCTATGTGCAGGGACACCTCCCTCTACACCAGATTGCTCAAAGCCCTGTCCAGCCTGGCCTTGAATGCTTCCAGGGAGGGGGCATTCATAACCTCACTGAGCAACCTGTTCCACTGTCTCACCACCCTCACAGTAAAGATTTCTTCCTAATATCTAATTTGAAATTACTCTCTTCCAGTTTAAAGCCTTTTCCCCTTGTCCTGTTGCTACATGCACTTTGGAGTCTCTCCCCAGCTTTCCTGTCCCCTTCAGGGACTGAAAGGCTGCTACAAGGTTGTACTGTAGCCTTCTCTTCTCCAAGCTGAAGAGCCCTGACTCTCTCAGCCTGTCTTCATAGGGGAGGTGCTCCAGCCCTCTGATCATCTTCATGGCCCTCCTCTGGACCCTCTCCAACAGTCCTGTATCCTTCTTGTGCTGGGAGCCCCAGAACTGGATGCAGTATTCCAGGTGGGGTCCCACAAGACTGGAGTAAAGGGACGGAATTGCGTCCCTCAATCTGCTGGTCACACTTCTCTTTATGCAACCTAGAGTATAGTTGGCCTTCTGGGCTGTAAGCGTGCATTGCTAGCTCATGTTGAATCTTTTATCAATGTCATTGAACAATCCTAGTTCCCCCAGATAAGACCAATAAGACTTGTGCTCCAGACTCTTCACAGCTTCACTGCACTTCTCTGGACATGCTCCAGAACTTCAATGTCTTTTTTTGTAGTGAGGGCCCTACATCTCAACACAGCGCTCAAGATGCAGCTTCACTTTTCAGCATCCCTTTTCTGTACTGAGTGCAATTCTGGAGTCACATCTTTTCTCAATTGTTAGCACCTTTCCAAGTAATATTGGGTTTTCTCTCTTTATTCACAGCCGTTTCTGTTCTAAACTCTGCTCCACATGCTCTCAGGTCAATCATGTCACTCTGATGGAGTAAAGGTCTAAAGGTAAATTATGTCTGTGTTTCCTTTTATGTATTTTTGTGCAAGTGATTGTACTGGGTATCTTTGTGGTGATTGAGAATCAGGTGTCTCAGTGTATTTTCTGGTTCTCCTGTAATTTGCAAATGCTTGCAGTCAGAAATGGTGCATTACAAAGAGCTGCTGTCTATTAAAAAATCACCAGTGGGAATCCATCAGTGAGATTTTATGTTCCATTAGTGAAATTTCCATTAGTGAAATTAGTTATACAGCCAACATAACCATCTATTACGTGTTGGATCAACACTCCTCTCCCTTCCTGCCTTGGAACAGGCACACAATTCATGGCACTGCTACAACAGGGAAATAAAAAAAGGAGTGTTTTTGGATAGAGTCTGTGTTATAAAGTCAAAATTTGCCTGTGAAGGGAAATACATCCATAGGAATACTGTTAAACAGCTATTACTGAAACAGTGTAGCAACATATGTAGGTAGCTTTTCACTGTATTTAGAATGTCACTTCTCAGTTTGGCATATGTATCTTCAAAACCATTTTAAGCCAAAAACAAAAACATGCTTGAAATCACATAGAGGTTCACAAAGGGACTAAAATTAGCTTACTCTCAGTGATGTAATTAAACCGGTAGAGATGATAAACTTCCCCGGAGATAAACTTCCTTAAATAAACTCTAGTTCTGCAATAGCATATTTTTTTTTCCCCACTAATAACAAAACACAAAAGCACAATTGAGTAAGCTGCTATACCTCATGGTGCCTATTGAATGAGAAGGCTCAACAGTGGGTCAGCCCAGCATCATATTTGGTTATGTTATCAGGACACGATTCTGAGTATGAGTATCTCCGAAGAACAGTTCCTCCCTAACAAAAAGTACTGGGGAATATTATTTCAGTTCTGACATTGAGATCCTAATACCACTCAGGGAGCACTGGGCATGTAGGTTGTTGCCTTTTCCCTGTCTAACACCTCAGTGCAATAGTGTGGAAAATAGGCTGTGAAGCACAATCTTCAATCACGTTGTTAAAAATAAACACCTTTATATTTTGTGACCAGAGGCTAGCACTGGCTCTATTTCTCTCCGTAAACTTTGCATCACCTCTGAAGATTAACCAGCTTGGGAGCTTTTAATATAACATCATCATTACATTTGCTATGGGTAAATTTACCAAAAATGTCTTTGCAGAGGAATAAATTGCAAGATAGAAAGGGAGATGAGAAATTACTATTAACAAGCTACTGCTTTGCAAAAGTTAGCTTATAAAAATGTCTGCTGGCTTTGGCACTACTCTTCATTCTCATTTTGGAGACTGGAGATTTGGTTACATTAAGATTTCTTACTTGTTCGAAAGTGTCCTCACATGTATAAATAAGAGGAGCTGCCGAGTTCTGAAAATAAATCACCAAGTTTGCTTGGAGAAGTTTTGGAATCCCCTTCGAGTTGGAAAATGGGGGGGGGGGAAGCTTATAATATCTATATTTGTCTTAAGAAAAATTATTTTTCAGTAGGTCATTGGATATTCACACAGTACTTCATCAGAGCCATCTTCCAAGGACAGGCTATAGCACTGAAGAAATGAGTGTGAGTCAAGATTGCTAGTTCTTTGTCAAACTCAAGCTATCCTGGAATAATCAAATATCCAACATCTACATAGAGAGCTTGGCCTGCTGATGAGAATTCCTTTTTGGAGTAGGAATGACATAGGAATGACAAAGGAATGCAGCAGCAGGAAACTAGAGGTTTATGAGCCAGGCAAGTAAAAGCAGTGCTGGGGCTCAGTACTCATCTTCCAACGTTTTGCAAGACATCTACTTGCTTATCTACGGGACTGGAGGAGAAGATGGAAAGATCCAATGCTGAGGTAATTGCTTTGCCAGACTTTATAGTTTTCTGACCACACTTCAGTTCTAAAACACAAAAATCATGTGGAAAAGAATCTTTACAGATGATTAAGTGGCCTGAAGTCTCATGGATGCATTCAGATATTACGGGAGTCATTAACATGTTAAAATGATAAAGAAAATGTCATGAATTTCTCCTGGAGATACAGGATTCTAAAATGATGGTAGTATGTTCCTATTATACAGTTTACTTCATATTTTTATTGTGTGAAAATGCACATCCCCAGAATTTTACACACAAATTGGTGCCTCATGATTCTTCCTTCCACGTGAAAGCAATAATTGAGCCATATTTTCAGTAAGTTGAGCTCCATAGATATATATATGTATTTAGGTGTGCAGATCCCAAAGCTATCCTTGTAGCCAAATGTTTTGATGTCTGTTACTTGAACGTAAATGTTGCAGACAGCGGTAAAAACACAAGTATGTTTTGTGCCAAATTATAGGTCTCAGTTTCCTGGGAAATTTGAGCGTATGAATTCAAATTTATATGAACAATATATCTATTGATACGTTATCTCTCTTTGGGCATATTCAAGTGAGAGACACTGGCTCTGCAGTTGAGAAGCTCCTTATCATTTAAATGATCAGGCACCCAAACGTAGTTTTCTGTCTTGAAACACTGCGGTGGCATTGCACTCATTCCCTGAACCACAAAAGATGTGTTGGATTGCTTCAGGCAGCATATTTTGCAGGGACTCCTCAGCACGCTCTTCTTTTTGCAGACCTGTTATACATTATCACTCTGGTCACAGGGAGGCAATAGGAAAAGCGTAAGCTTTGCAAATAGACGTGTCTGACACACAGCTCTCCCTCTGTTATATGGAAATCTTTATTTACAAGTTTACATTTTGCATATGTAAAGCATAAAATCTCTTGCTCCAGCCTTGCAGAGTGAGGGGAATGTGCACACATTCTCTTTAAAGTTATGAAGTTCATTCACAACAGTTGGTGGTACTCCCAGCTCTTCCAAAGAATCACGGAATCATTTGGATTGGAAGGGGCCCTCAAAGGCCATCTAGTCCAACTGCCCAGCAGCAGGATACCTGCAGTTAGGGCACTAGCTTCCCAGAGCTGCTCTTCTTGCCTGTCAGGACAGACAGGTTCCTCTATATAATATGTCAGCTGATATGGATTGTGGCAAAAGTTACCTCAGCTTTCTGGCTAAAGAATAAGCAAAAAGCTGTCCACTTTCCTGGCGAAATTCAAGCTGCGCAAACAGACCTTTTTTCTTGCAGTGATTTCTGCTGACACCTTTCTGACAAAGAAGGATGCCACAGGATGAGGAGGAGCACCTGGTGCCTTCTCCATTCTAACTTGCACACTGTCATTAGAGAGTAATTTTATAAACAAAGATTTTTCAGGATGTATTTCAGATTTGCAAAGCATGGTATTATCTCCATCCTCCTTCTAGTCACGTGTTCTGCCCTTTGGAAAGACTGCACACTGTCTACTGTTGACAGCTGTTTTGCATTTCAATACATGATCAGAAATGTAAAAAGGAGGATTTTTGAACGGGGACGGTTCCCACCTTCAGCTGACTTTCCAGAATGCAGTGGAATTGAATGACTTCGTCTCTCAGAGCAGGAGAGAGCACTGCCATCTATCGACTGGGTCGCTGCATTACGCTTCTTCTGACATTTAAAGTGCTTTGGCAGTTTGGGAATGCGTCAGAACACCCGGAAGCGTTCCCAAGTTCCTGTTTTGATGCACCATGCTTCGGTGACACGTTCCCAAGGCAGAAAATAGCTACTGCCCATAATTCAAGTGTGATGCTTTTAAGCACTGCAATCTAAAACGTGGGGCAGGGGAGAAAAAAAGCCTTTCAGTTATTTCTTCCTAATATTTGACTTAGGTCCTTCCAGGTATTTGACTTTGCAGCTAAATAACAAAACGCAGATGCATATAATAAACAGAATTATCTACTCCCACACATAAATTTTGTCTACTAAGCAGGTGGAAGCAAGGCCCCTTTGTTACCTCTTGTACACATCTGGACACTTCATAGAATCATAGAATTGCTCAGATTGGAGAAGACCTTAAAGATCAGTGAGTCCAACCACAAGCTAACCATACTTCCCAAATTAACAATCCTCTGCTAAATCACATCCCTGAGCACCACATCCAAATGCTTTTTAAACACATCCAGGAATGGTGACTCAACCACCTCCCTGGGGAGCCTATTCCAGTGCTTAACAACCCCTTACTATAAAGAAGTTTTTCCTGATATCCAACCTAAACTTATCCTGGCACAACTTGAGGCTGTTTTCCCTCATCCTGTCACCAGTGAGAAGATGCCAACCCCACTCTCGCTGTAAGCACCTTTCAGATATTGGAAGAGAGCAATAAGGTCTTCCCTCAGCCTCCTTTTCCCCAGACTGAACATCCCCAGTTCCTTCAATCTCTCCTCATAGGGCAATTCTCCAAGCCCTTCACCAGCCTTGTTGCCCTTCTTTGGATTTGCTTCAGCACCTCACTGTCCTTTCTGTACTGCGGTGCCCAAAACAACGTATTACTTGAGGTGAAGCCTCACCAGTGCCAAGTACAGGGGCAGGATTTCTTCCCAAGTCCTGTTCCCCACGCTATTCCTGATACATGCCAGGATGCCACTGACCTTCTTGGCCACCTGGGCACACTGCTGGCTCATATTCAGCTGACTATCAGTACACCATGCTACAAAGGTTAAATTAGTTCATTTCCAATAGTTTAAAATGAGCGTATCCAACACAACAATGAACCCCAAATTAGACATCAGTGAAGAAAGGAATGCCAACAGAATTTTTGTGTAGTACACCATTTTGCTGCCATACAATCTATCCAGAATATTTCAGATCAAAATCAGGAGTTCTGAGCTGTTTAACTGGGACATTCACAAATTTATGGAAGTTGCATTTTCTTCTATCAGATGTATGATCTAGTATATACATAACAGAAAACTGCAAAATATTCCATGACATTCACTAGGGCAATGGGCATAACTCACGCAACCACTGTCGGCAAAATAGTCTTTGCAAGTCCATGTCAAGACCCCTTTGGATAGCAGTTCATGCTACCATTTATTTCCTGCAATTGTGCATGTTTTTTTGTTTTTTGTTTTTTGTTTTTTTTTTTTTCCAATGTAAGACATAAATAATAATTTAAAAAATGTATTATCTGCCATCCCATTAAATATCACTGAAAAAAATCAACTTTCCAAAAACCACCAAAGTCAGCTCTACCAGCCCAGTATGCCAATATGCTTTGATTCTGTACTTAGCTACATAGGTCGGTTTCTTTCTCTTTCCTCGCCTACAAGAGGCGAGATTCACATTTAGAAAACAGGCATCGCCTTGTCTGGTGAGTTCAAATTCGGTGTCTTGTGGAGACCACACACCCGAGCAATTGGCATAGATGACCACTGGGTGGCACTAGATAACAAGGCTGAGGAGCCATTCCCCCATGCACGAACTGGTTATCAGATGTTTTGAATGCAGTATTCACCGTAAAGAAGCAAAGAAAGGTAAGTGCATCACCTCTAGGAAGAGTTAACGTCTGCTACTAGGTTATAGTGCAGTCTTAAAGATGTCAGCTTTTGGACCACCACTTTAACTCTCAGATGGTCTTTAAGAGGAAGTAACCCTGAGGCTTTTAACTTTCCCTCTTGTGGCTTTTGAAGTGAACTGGGCATCTTACAAATGTCCTCACTGAGTTTCAGTCTTTACAGTTTTGCCTGCTGAGTATGGTATCAGTTACGTGTTTGTAAGTCAGATGTGAGGCTGCCTAACCAAGCATGCTGCTTGTACCATATGAGGTAAAAAGAGCTGAGATTATTTTTAATATACTCTCTGAAGTCAAGTGACCTCATTCCTACAATGACAGCAGCTGTATGGCTCAGCTGCAAAGACTCAGACCTTTAGAACCCAACTAGCATAAAGTTAATCCAATCATTAAAATGCTGTGAAGATAAAGCTCAATATCTCAGGACTTTCCAGACTGAGGAGAAGGCATTATATTCATAATGACACATAAGAAATGCAGTGATATAAGTGCTGAGGTGAGATGCTGTGCTGTGTGAGAATGATCCTACAGTACCTTTGGATTTTAAGGCAGTTTTAAGGGATCTAAATCTGAGATCTGCCCATAGCTTAAACTGTTTAAATCACCCTGGGACATCCCAAAAGTTACAATACTACATGTAGAGACAGCACAAGTTTTGGCATCTTTACGCTGACTGTAAATTGATTCCACTAAGAAGGTTTGTAGCTCCTCCTTTCAACAATTAAATCCTTGTGTGTTGCTTCCCCAGGAAGTCAGACCAATATTGCTATGTGGACACCTGCATTATTAGAAGGATGGGAAAACCTTTTCCTTGGAGATCTTAGGCTAAAAATTGATGGTTGAAAGATTTCATATAGAACGTACAACAAAAACCTCAAGATAAGGAGCTGGAAGTTTCCTACGTTTCCTACATTTATGCATAAATGCCATATTTCACAAGTGAAAAACAGGCCTTGGCATTTTCCAGTCATAAGGTCAGCCAGCCAGAAGCTAGGCACAGATCTGGTTTTAAAAATATTCCCTAATTTTGAATAAATCTGTAAACAAAATGGACTGGACCAAATTCCTTCTAGCTAAAACTAAGTGGTCTGCTAAATTACATCAACAGGAGAACAATTTGACGTACCTTGTTTATAAAAAGTTGTACAAATATGACAAATAGGACAAATGAATTATGAGGAAATAATTCCAAAAAGAATGCATCATCATCATCCAAAATATGTTCTAGAAGACATAAGGGTAGCTGGAGAAATACTTGCAT